GGCGGCGGAGGCGGCGGCGGCTCTTGCTCTCCCCCGCCCGGGGGCTGCTTCGCCTTGTCGGCGCCGCGGCGCCGCGCTGAGCCCTCTTGCTTCATGGCGCCCGGAGTCCCGGGGCGCGGCCTAATCTGGGGGGCCGGAGCCGGGGCCTCTCGTGAGCGCTCGCGCCGGGGACCGGGGGCGCCGGACGTGGCCTGTGCGCGCGCGCGCGGGCTCGGGTCCTGGCGCACGATGACGGAGCAGCTGCAAACCCTTCCCCGGCGTTGGGGCTTCTGGGACATGCCCAGGCCCTGGGGGCCGATAGCCGAGTAGGAACAGGGGGAAGAAATCAAGCACCGAGCTTCAGGCCTGAGGCTGACGTAACGAGAGAGGGGTGGAGGATCGGGGAGGAGCCAATCTGCGGCTTCACGCCCTGCCCCGCCCTGCCGCCCGCTCTGGGTTGGTTTGTTTATTTTGTTTTTATTTTCCTCTCGAGTGTACTTTCCTATGCTTGTCCACCAGGGGTCACCGTAGGCTCAAACTGAGACTCCTCGGCTCCCCTGCTTTTAGCTCATCTCGCTTGTCAAATTAGGCATGGCCAATCCTAGCGCTCATCTCCAATACAGCATGAGTTGCTGGGCAGGATTTTCACGCGAGCTCCGGAAGCCTCGAGGTACGCTTGCGTGTCCGTCTGTCAACTGCCGCCGTCCCGCGGCACGGCGCGAGTGTGGGGAAAAATCCCGGTGGAGAGGAGTGGGAGACGCGGGGAGAAGGCGAGGAGGAGAGAAAGAAACCCAAGCCGGGGCGACGGAGCGGGGTGGGAAGAGTTCCGTGGGCATGGAGTCACGGAATAGGGGGAGGGGAGGTCCCCACGTTATTTTGAAGAGGCCGCAGGTCGTGGGGTTGGGAGACCCCAAGATGGCTGAGGACCACGGGCGAGGGCCCAGGGGTGGGGCCCTCACAGGACCCCAAGGAACCAAGGCTGGAAGGGCACTCAGGGGGGTCCCAGGAGGGTCGACCTCCCCTTTTTACCTGGGGGGCAACTGAAGCACGGAGAAAGGAAGGGATTTGTTATAGGGCACACACATGGAGTCCGTGCTAGAGCTTGGGTTTGACTCCTGGTCTCTCCTGGCCTCCAATTCCAGTGCTTTTTGCATTTTCTCTATCTGGAGGACAGGTTCAGATTAATTGGATTTAAAGCTAGATGGAAGGGACCTTACAAAGATTGTTTAGTCCAGGGATTTTTAACACGGAGTCAGCAGATAGATTTCAGAGGAGAGTTTATGAACTTGGATGGGAAAATATACATCTTTATTTTAAGTTTTTTATATCTTACGTAATCAATATTTTTATTATAAAATATCACATTGACATAATATATTGATTGTTATATATTATACTGTATTGATTATATATTGATTATAATGTTATATGTTGCTTATAATATATGCAATAATAGAATATAGTAATTATAGTATGTAATTAAACAGTTATAATTAGAACTTGAAATTTAGCAATGCCTTTAATTATGAATGTAGGTAACAAACCTGAGGAGTCCATAGGCCTCACCATATTCCTAAAAGGGTTCACATCACAAAAAAGTTAAGAATCCTTAGCCTATTTCAACTCTTATTTTGCAGAGGAAGAAAACAGGGCTGAGGAAGTGAAGTAACTGGTGGTTCATTCCAAATCCAGTGTTCCTTCTATTGTACTAGTATGTTCCCTTTCACCCCTGCTCCCTCCCCATCACCAAAAATCCCTCACAGGAAAGAAGTCCCTTGAATCTGTTTTTTTTTTTTCAGAGTCCCAGCAGAAGAAGCTTCTGATTTATGGTATTATTGTCTGTCTGTGTGTCTGTGTGTGCGCGTGTATAACCTCTGGCCCAGTGCTTCACAACTTCAGGGCTCATGTGAACCAAATCCAGCCCTGGGAGTCTTACTCTCCTTGTCTCATACTTTGTATTCATATTCCAGGGGAAATCCTAGAAACAAAGCTTAGGTATAACTTGTGTCTAAGTCTCCTTAAATCTATGTATCAGGTTCCCTGACTCCTTCTTAGGTGCTCAAGCTGCTAAAAACACATTGAGTATGGACATCAAGGCATTTCACTCCTCACAAAATGGGTAAGATGAAAAAGACAGGAGCCCAAGAACAAATGCAGAAACGTAAAGCACTCAAATAACCCATTAGACTCCCTGTGATATTGACCTCACTTCCTGGTCACCTGAATACAATTGAGGAGCTCCAGACATTCTCTTTGATGTTTGGTTGGTGGAAAACGAGATGGGCAGCTCAGGCAAAGGGAGTTTTGCTCAGCTGAATCAACCCCAAGATTTCCTTAATGCCTATACTTGTTTATAATCCACCTGCTAAGGGTAAGTCAATCTTTTCCTAATTTTTGATGACTTCAGAGTCTCATTTTGTTCCAGTATCCCACATAGACATAAGCACACTTTGGGGGCTACTGAACAAGCAGGAAACCTGTCCTGTCTGAGCAACTCATGGGATCTGGGCAGGTTGGGAAGGTCCAGATCTGGTCCTCCCATGTGTTAGTCCTTCAGCTTCAGGGTTTCTTCTGTTGTTTTTTAATAAGCATTTGTTAAGCTCCTACAATGTACCAGGCACTGTGCTTTACAAATATATCCTTTGATCCTCACAACAATCCTGTGAGGTGGGGACTGTTGTTATCCCCATTTTACAGTTTTAGAAACTGAGGCAGGAAGAGGTTGAGTGATTTGCCCAGAGTCACACCGCTAATAAGTATCTGAGGCTGGATTTGAATTCAAGTCTTCCTGACTGCAGGCCCAGTGATGTATCTGCTGTTCCCCCTAGCTTTGGGGATCCTCTTCCTTCTCCAAAAGGTTTGCCTTTGAAAAAGATCTCTACTTAGGAGACCCATGCAGGAATTCTTTAACCTAGGAACTCTTGAACTTCAGATCATCCACAAGTCAGCACACAAAAGCTAGGAAACTAACAAATATTTGGGGAAGTAATACATAGAGAGGACTAAAATATACAGAGTAAACAGGAAACGATGGGGAAGGAGAAGAGAGGCACTAACAACTGGAAGGGATCAACAAAGGCCTCTTGAAGGAAGTAGCCCTTGAGTTGAACTTGGAAGAAAGCTGAAGATTCTAAGAAGGGGTAGAGATGGGGGAGTGCTTTGCACGCATGCGGTATAGTTTGGACATAGGCACAAACATGGAAGATTGTTGTGCAGGAGGAATCACAAGGAGACTAATTTGGCTGGATTGTAGAGTGTGTTTACTATGCCTGGGAAGGTAGACTGAGCCAGATTGTGAAGGGCTTTAAGTGGTTAACAAAGGAGTTATTTTATCCTAGAGGCAATAGCTACTGGAGCTTTCTTTACAAGCAGGGTAATGATATGATCAGATCTGTGCTCTAGGAACATTAATTTGGTGGTGTTGTACCGAGAAATCAACGAGTGAGACCCAGACGTAATTTAAGATGTGGATTTTATTAGCACGCGGCTGCAAGGGGTATGCACATCCAAATCAAGCGGCCCCGATCAGGGGTCGAGCTAGGGTTTATATGGAAAAGAGCATGGGAAAGAAATGCCAGGAACACTGATGAGGTAATCCAAAGGTGTAGGTGTCCTTGGGGGCTATGGATGGGAAAGTATAGGGAGTATACCGGACAGCAAGGGGGATGGATCTTTGGAGTCTGGCAGGAGGAAGAGTCCTTGGGCTGGTCAAGGACACCCCTCTCCCTCTGTCTTGATGAGAGAATGCTCTGCAACAAGAGAAAGCTTTCTCACAACACAGGAACTTACTGAGGAATTGGGAGGCTTCCAGAGACATGATCTGAGGGCTGAGGCCTGAGCAGCCCAGCTCTGTGTAGCTGTACCAGGGAGAGAGATAAGGGTCATGCTGAGGCCCATGCATGAATAACTGCTAGGCACAGTGTCCTTGGGCTGGGGAATGGTTGTTAGAGACAGTGTTTCTGAGACTAGGGAGAAATTGGGGCACAAGTACAAGCACAAGCACCCGAGCACCCCATTATTACAGGTCAGAGATCACACAAACCAGACCAGGTGTCCTGGTCTCTGGTATAAACTTAATTATCTAGAGCAATTATATTGCAAGCTTTCTTATCCATTTGCATTGGAGGTACGGGCTATGCTGAGCTATGCAAGAGTACATTTCACTATTGTTTAGATTTAGGAGGAAAGAGGTCTGGGGCAAGATGAAGCACCAACTTTTGCTTTCCATGGCTTAAAGGGCCCTACTACCTAAATGGCAAAATAATGTTCTGCATTACAGTAGTTGTGTGTGGAATGAGTAGAGAAGAGAGAGTTAAGAGCAGAAGCCAATGGGGAGAGGCTATTGTTATAGTCAAGGCAAGAGACAGGGGCACTGTTTTTCCTAGTAGACTGTTAGATGCTCAACAGCTATTTGATGAATGAATGAATGAAACATTTAGGGGACAAGTATGCTCAGTTTGGTAGGAAGTGGTGAGTGGGGAGAAAGAGGAGAAAAGACAGGATTTTTGGACCATTAAAAGTTTTTGGAAAGTTCTTAATGATCTAGTCCAACTCTTGTATTTTAAAGATGAAGAACTGGTTTTAGAGTGGTTAAGTGATTTGTTACAGGTAGTTCAGATAGTGTATGTCAAGGGATACTGTTGTCAAAAGACACTAGGTATTTCGTGTAGGTGGGCAAGAGTTATGAAGAAAGAAAATAAACAAGCTTTATTATTATAATTTATGAGTCCTCCACCCTGGATTGTTAGGCTCTTAGCTCATTTCTTTATAATGATTACATCAAAAGGAAAGAACAACCAATTTAGGAGATAACTACAACCTATGTCCATGAGCAATGTAGCAAAGCTTTGGAAGACATCCAAGAGTGGAGGAGGATTACTTGATACAAAGCATTTGGAAGCTGGTCATGAATTCTTAGGAAGTGAGGGAACCAGTCTTAGAAGACGGGAGAAAAGGATAGAGAATTGATTCCTTTGGCCCATGACCCTTGAAGAATTGACCGTCTAATAGAACTGACTCAATTTTGGTTTTTGAAATTAATGGGTTTTATTTTGACATAATCATTTCTAAGAAACAACCTCCCTCCCAACAATGATACCTTCTCCTACTGAAAGATAAACTGGATTTTCTGCAATATCTCATTAAACCATTCCAATAAAACATTCCCAGACCTTCTTAATCTTAGTGTCTTCTCTCTGACTACCTCTGGTTTATCCAGTATATATCTTCTCTGAACATAGTTGTTTGCATATTGTCTCTCTCATGATCGCCTTGAGAACACAGGGACTGTTTTTAACCTATATATCCCCAGCACTTAGCACAGTGTCTAGCCACATAGTAAGTGCTTAATAAAGCGTTGTTGACTGGCATATTAGTTGTGGCTTCAATGTTTTTATTTTTTAATTTAGTTAAAACCCCAGTTAAGGCAGGGTGAAGCCAAGACTTTTTATTAGGTTTTAATGCATATTACATCAGCCAGTTGTCTTTCTAAGCCACAACCACTTCTAATCAGACAAGGCTGAGGGAAAAGACGGAATGAAAATGAAGACACGACCCTTCATAAGACAATGACCAGAATTTTCTGGGTTAATCTTACATCTGGGTTTTTCCCTTCATTCAGTTTAGATTCTTCATCTATCTGAATCATTTTGGAAGGTTGTACTGCTGCTACTTCTGAAAATAATGTCTGACGTCTTGGTCTTTGATTTTCCAGCATCTTCTATCTAGTCTCATAATCCTCAAAGGGCTCCTGATTGGATTCTGTTTGGAGATGTTTCCCATTTTTGGACATGATATTTCATACTCTCTCAACTCCTGTTGGTTTCTGTCCTTGTTTTTTGAGCAGTAGTTCTCAAAATGTCCATGGAACATTGATGTTTCCTCCAAGTAGTTTGTAAATACTCTTGCAGCATTATTAATGTTTGTAATGTTATCTGGTCCTGGGACCTTTTTCTCTTCTGCATTCCTTCAATGATTGAATAACTGGAGAGAATAAATTGTATCCACTAGAAGTTATACATGGTGATGGTTTGCGATAGTAACTAATGGAGACAGAGCAGAAAAAAAGAAGGGGAGATCTACAGAGAGCAGTCCTGACAATTGGGAAGAGAAGTGGAATTCTGGAGTTCAGGGTTTGTTTTTTTTTTCCTTTCGTTTGTTTTACTTGGGGTGGGGACGTAAGGACACAAAGATCTCTTGAGTCTTGTCCTCACTTCATCTGACACACTGGTGGATTGACCTGGAAATGTGGAATGGCAAGAAGTTGGAGAGAGAGAAAATAAATCTATTCTCACCCTCACTTTGCTCCCCATGGGAAGCAGTAAGTCAAGACTGAACTAGGTAGGGGAGTGATTTGCTACAGAAGTCCTAGTATTTGGATGGGGCTCACAACTGACATATCTTTGGGATTCAAATTCAAGAATGTTTTCCTCTTTTTAATAACATTTTCTTTTGAAATCCTGAGAATCACGTAAGGAAATGGGGTTCAGTATATTGGAAGGTATCATATAGATGGTTTTTCAGGTGCCTCGGGTAGGGACCATGAGGCAAAAGAGTGAGAAAATCCTGTAAAGTATCTGTAGGCCCTTTGTGTAAATGAATCTTTTACAAAAGGTCTACAAAATATGTAGCCATTCTGACTACATTATATTTCCCTTTCTGGATTGAATTATTCACATATGATAATTAAAAACAAAGCAAAAGATAAAGAAACTCCATTCTTGCTATTCTAATGAGTGTTTTTTTGGGAGGGAGGGCAAGTGAAAGTGAGTGGGGTAGGCAATACTTTTCCTTATCTAAGTGATCTTTAGTTTTCTTTTTTTTAAAGCAACCACCTCTTTTAGAGGGTTTAAATTTCAACTGATGGACAGTGGCAGGGAGGCAGAGATTAGGGCCCTTGGCTTAAAATACTCCATATGAGTGAGGTTTCATTCATCTCCAGCAACAGTGTCATTTGGTGGTTCTGAATGTTATAGCAGTAAGAACAGAGAAAAAGGAGCTTGAGGGAAGGTAGTCTAAGAGAAGAGAGGCAGGGGGAAGAGGAGTTTAAGAGTGCTTGGTTAGGAGCTGTAGGAAGGAGAGGCTGGCATACAGGGCACAGAGCTGGGGGAGTGTGTCAGGGTCCCAGTTATACTTGAGGCCTGATCTCTGCATTTCCAGGCCACTCAGCCCCACCAGAGCCTCAGTGAAGGTCAATTCCTCATCCCCCAGGGAGGATAGTAGCTCAGGCTTCAGGGGAAATAAACCTTCCTCAGTGCGTGGAAAATTCTGCTCCATAATACTCTCCACCTAGAAGAAAAACAATGTAAACAAAAGAAGTTGAGAACCTCTTCTCTTTTCCTCCAAAGACAGACAGACAGACACACACATTCAAGAAGGACCCGTTCCCCTTCTGCCCCTTTCCTCATAATTAGGCAATGAAACCCAGAGAATGGTTCAACTTCACACTGCTTAACTCTTCCTGTGAGACTGACAGGTATGCTGTTGTCACCCTGTTCCTGAATTGAAGGAAGTACACAGAGAGAGGGAGGAGGAAGTGCATGGTACAGTGACAAGATTGCTGAACTTGGGAGTCAGAACACTTGGATTTCAGTCTTAGCTTTGTCATGTATTAGCTATGGAGCCAGTCCCTTCTTTGGGGCTATGTTTCATCATCTATCAAACGAAGGGTTTAGATTAACAGATCTCTGAGGTCTTAGCTTTTGGAATGGGGCAGGTACCTCCACACTCCCTTTTCTCATTAAAAAATCATGTTTTCTGTTGTCCCTCAGTGAAGTCTGGTCTATGGCCACCTTCTCCCCAAACTTTCCTGGCTGGGCCCATTTCCTCTTACCAGTGTCAGCTGCTGGGGCAAGATCTTCATCTCCATGGACTTTGCTAATAGTTTATGCTGGGCTTCAGTCAACTCTGGAAACAAGAAGCATTGTTGTGTGGGTTGAATAAAGGGGGCCATTGGAGAGGCTTTCTCAGGGGCTGAGGACCTTCTACATGGTCTTGGCCCTTCCACCTCCCTTTCTGGGGTGCTCTCACATTTACCTGTCAGGGCTCCAAGGAAATACAGAATGCCTTCCACAACGTCACGGGAGAGTTCAATGTCTTTTGGGCTAGCCTCCAGGGACACAGGATGCCTCTTGTTCAGAGCTTCTTCAAACTGTGCGGGAAAGAGAAAACCATCTGATCTATTGTCCCTCCTATATAATGCAGTCAGCATGGCTACATATTTTGTAGACTTTTTGTAAATGATTCATTTACACAAAGGCTCATCCTTTCCGATTTAGAACCCAGAGCCCTTTCTTACGAAGAAGGTTCCAAACTAGTCGCTTCCAATCTCATTCTAATGATGTGCCCCTCACACCCACTGCTAACCTTATTTCCCTCACAGTAAATTTCCGGAGGGCAATGAAGCATATGCTTTGGAGAAGGACCTCCATTGTTTTCTCTCTTTTAGGAGTGAGGAAGGAGCAGCAATGGCCTGTCAGGGCGAGTAGCCAGCTTTGAAAAGGGTATCTAATTTTCCCTTCTGTATCTGGTAAATTATGAGTGCTCTCCTACCTTTTCCCCCAGGACTGCCTCCCTCTGCCTCCCCTCTTCACAGAGCCTAACCATCCCCCAAACCTTTTCCCATTATATTGGGTCTCAGTGTCTCACCGAGAGCTCTAAATCTTGCAGGTCTTGTTTCTTCCCCAGAAGGCTTCTGAGGGACTTGAGTAGTGATGCCTGCCCTTCCTTGCTCAACTTGTCCACCTCTTGGGCCTCACTTTGTACTTCTTTCTTAAGTGACCCAAAATCTTCTGGAACTTCAGCTGTGTATGCAGAAAAAACAGAAGACAATTCCTTACTTTACCTAATCCCAAACCCCTTTCATCTGGTACCCTGCCCATAATAGTTTCTTTTTCCTTGGTACTCCTCCATTCAGATCCTCACATTTAGCTTGGATTGGGCCCTCCCTCTTCTCTTATTCTGAGACCTATAAAATAATCCATTGGACTTGATTTGTTTTCGTTTCCCTTGGCTTAGTTTTAGAAATAGTGAGAGCCCAATCCTTATCTGAAGCTGAGATCAGAGAACTGTTTTCCCCCTGGCTGCTGAAGAGAATAACTTCTCAGGGAGATGGCAGTGGCCACAGTGGGACTTGTCCAGAAGGTGATAGGCTATGTGACAACTAGGGGACAGACTGAACCATGCATGGAGGGTTTGCCCTGCAGCCTGAAACCCAAGGATGTTTCTAGTTGGCATCAGAGAGGACCTTTGACTCTGGAAATGGCTTAGACCTCTGGGACCTGAGATTTAGCAGCTCTTCCCTCTCCTGCATGCTTATAGGGAAAACTCACAAATCTCCTTACAAATATCAGATGTCTGGATAACTGAAATGAGAAAGGAAAACAAATGGATAAGAGTGTCAGCCTGAAGCATGTTACCAATATAAAGCTCATGTCTATATAGCATATTGTGGTTTACAAAATACTTTAAATATGCAATCTCATTTGACCCTTACTATTATTATTATTTACATTTTACAGATGAGGAAACTGAGGTTCACAAAGATTAAGTGATCCCTTGCTCAAGGCCACTCAGGTGTAACATGTGGGCATAACACTGAGAGTAGGGAAATGTGTTCTAATTGTTTCTAAGAAGGTCCTGTCCTTTTGATTTGTTTAAAGCCATTTTTTTTATAGGTATTTGGAGGGGTTTGGGGGAGAGCTCAAGCAAGTCACTGCTTTTACTCTGCCATCTGGGCTCTGCCTCTTCTGTCCTGTCCTTTTGAGAACCACTGTCTCACCATTCCTAGCTTCTCTGGAAGGTAACAAGGGAACAGAGTCATGCTGGGTGGAGAACTTGGTGGGGTAGGGGAAAGGAGAGAGCTAAGTCTTTGGTCAGTGGCAGTGTTAACATGGCCTTTACAGCAGCAGCAATTCCAGGCCTTGACCCAGAAGGATACTGGATAGTTAATGGGTGAAAAAAGAGTCACTGCCTCTGGAATCTTGAGGACATGGGCCCGAGAGAGCAGAGGATCTTCCCTAAAGATTTCCCACTTCTGTGAATAATTTGGAAATCATGGCTTTTTTTTTTTAAAGAAAAATAAAGCTTCAGTTTTGGGGCACCATCTCTCCTGAGCTCCTAGCATTTCCACAAGAAAATGGATGAGAAAAGGTTGGTATATTGAAAGTCAGAGTAAAGAAAAGTGAACGAATATGAATGAAAACACACTTACAGGAGATTTTCTCTTCAGGCTTTTCTGGATAAATAAAATAAAAATACATCAGCATAACATCCACTTCTACTTTTTTTTCCCCTCAGGAACATTTTATAATGTAACATTTTATTAGTGGTCATTACAAAAACATACTGTTGGCACCTGTTCTCACAATTTGGGGGCAAACATCTCTGCTTCTGTGAATGTTCAAGCTCTGCCTTTCTGTTTGTTTCTCTGTTTGTTTTGGTCTAAGAGAACAAACAAAAGCATTTTATCTTTATCCTCCTCTCTCTCCCCTCAAAATCTGGGACCTAGAGGATAATAGGGGAAAACTGTGAAGATATGGGGGTTAATAGAAGAAAGTCATAGAATCAGGTTTAGAGTGTTGGGTCTATTAACCCCTCAAGGGGTCTGTGGATAGATTTCAGAAGGGTTCTGTGACATGGACAGGGGGAAAAAATTACAGCTTTATTTCAGTATAATTGGCTTCCTTTGAAATCCTAAGTATTTTATTTCATGCATTTAAAAACATTCTGAGATAAGGTCTATAGGTTTTTACCAGAGTGCCAAAGGTTCCTATGACTCAGAAAAGGTTAGGATCCCCTGATTTAGAGATCAAAGGGATCTGATGGATCAACTAGTCCAACTCTTCCATTTTTCAGATGACAAGACTGAGGCCCAGAGAGGTTACAGAACTTGCAAGACATCCAAAGGCTTTGGGGAAGGAAGGGAGGGGCTGCTGAGGGATAGAGCCTCAGAGGCCAGAGTGATAGGGAGACTGTAGACTTTCTGCTTGGGAGCAGTTTTACTCACCTTCAGTAGGGAAAGTCTTCAGGTTCTCGTTGTAGACATGAGGAATGTCTGGAGGGGTGAGGAGAGAGAGGAAAGAAATGGTGCTGTTAGCTGCCGCCTGGCACTTTCCACTTTCTCCTACGCAAAGGCTTTTAGGGATCTTTGGAATCAAGCAGGTTTCCCTCCAGATTGTCACTAACTCGTCTTATGTAAGGTTTAAAAAAACCAAACAACACCAATATGAAAGGGGCAGTACATTCTTTCAGGATTTGATCTCAGGTATTTTATTTTGCCTTTCCCCATCTCACAGACCATATCTCTAGGCTGCATTACTTGAAACATAATTTCCCTGTTCTTCCCAACCCATTCCACAGCTCCCAGAAGAAAGAATCAAGGACACTTAAGAATTGGGAAGAGGGCCCAACAGACTCCTGGTAGGAGAGGGACCCTGATTCCCTGGGCCTCTACTCACCCCAGTCATCTTTTCCTTTGATTACCAGCTGCCTCACTCGGAAGGCTAGGACACAGCCCTTGGGGATGGTGATAGCCTCCTTGTGGTCTACAGACCCCTAGGATTAGAAAACACAGATCAGGAAACCTGCAGACACCCTCAGTTTGAATTTGCTCCCTGCCCTTCCCTCCCTAGTTGCTGTTCACAAAAGGCCAACTTCTGTGGCATCCACTTCAAAGCCCTTCCATCAGTTTCCACTAACAATTCCTCTAACTACCTTCATCTCCTTTGCTGACTCAGACTCATTACCCTCGCTGGGCAAACCTGTTCTTGGGCTGATCCTGACTCAAGGGCTTCACAGGTGCTTCTCTTCTTCCTCTCAGCTTTAGCATCCTAGTCATCCACTCCTCAATTTCCATCCGTCCTCACACGTTTCAGGAAGCCTGCTTCCTTTCCTCCTGGCTTCAGGACTCAGTAATAAGGGTCCAAGAGCCACCCACAGAAAATCAAACCTTACCTGTCTATCTCCCGCAAGAGACATTATGCCTCTAAGACATGAGTACATACCACCAAGGTGGACTGTGGAAGGCAGGACCTTAATCATTGCCCTCTAAATTGTCCCAAAGAGCCAAAACCTCGTACCACCCCTATTACTGCTTGTGTAGTACAAGCAGTGCACTGGAATTTGTGCTTACTGATCACTATTCACTGGAGTATACTCACTACTCTGGAGTTTTGCTCTTCTACTTAGGTTTCCATTTCCTAAGAACAGGCTGTCCTGAAGCTCCTAACTCCAATCATTTGTGTAGATGCCTTCTACAAGTAAGTGTGATTCGGAACAATTCTCTTTATCTCTCTTGGCCTTAGCTTCCTCATCTGTAAAATCTTTGTTCACAAGACAGCAAGAGTGGAAGTTGTTGATTCCTTTCAAGTTCACCTAGCCTCTTCTTGGGGCCGCTAGGTGACTCAGTGAGCACTGGGATTGGAATCAGGAAGACTCATCTTCCTGAGTTCAAATCTGGCCTCAGACACTTAACTAGTGACGTGACCCTGGGCAAGTCACTTAACCCTGCTTGTCTCAGTTTCCTCATTTCTAAAATGAGCTGGAGAAGGAAATGGCAAACCATTCCAGTATCTTTGCTAAGAAAACTCCAAATGGGGTTACAAAGACTCAGATACCACTGAAACAACTAAACAACCCAGTGAATATTCTTTTTTCAACACAGCCCTCCTCTTCCTCCCCCTACACCTCTTAGGAGAGTGGGGCACACAGGCACCCACCATAAGCTTCTGGTTGCACATGCCCTTTATCTAGAGGCCAAGACATATCTCTTGGGATAGGCCAAGGCACTATAGGAAGTGACCTAGCCAGAGCGAGAGCGTGTGTGTGTGTGTGTACACTCCCTTGATTATCCCTATTACAGGTGTCCTCTAGGCTTTTGCTGAGCCATGGACTGACTCGCTTTTGTTTCGTAGAACACAGCACAAGGCTCTATACCCATAGGATCAGGAAAGGGGCTTTTAGCATAACTGGCTGGACTGGGGACAGGATGCAAGAAAAGCAGAAAAGGAGATGGAGCACAGAGGGTTAGGGAAAGGGGATTAGACAGATGTGGGGTGCTGACTGTAGATGGAAGAACTGGGCTGGTCTCTTCCTTCCCTAAGCTTCTGGGTGTATTGCTAGATGGGAGTGGGGAAACTAAACCTGTAGGCCCAAAGGGGCAAAGAAGGGGAGGGAGAAGCATCCTGAAGCTTTCCCAGCGTTCTCCAGGGTGACCTCCTTCACAGTTTCCACAACTTCCATCACCACATACAGGTTCTCTCCTCGTTCCTTTATCTCCTTTAGGAATGAGTGTTCTGGCACAAGCTTCCTGGCAGGGAGGAGACCAAAGAGAAGGGTCAGGGTTTTAGCTTATGCTAGTTGGTGTCCCTTTCTCCTGTTGATTTCTCAGTCCCCAGCACCTGAGAACCAGCTTGTACCTAGGGCTTCTTTCTAGCCTGCTGTGGCCTACATTTCTGAGCTGCCCAATCCTCATGTTCTCTCCCTGCCCTATTCCTCATCTCTGTTTCCCAACTACCACTTAGTGCCACTTATGAGCTGACATTGCATCCTCTGTGCAGACTTGTCCCAGAAACTCAAAGAGGGTGGCAGGGCATTAGAGCAGAATTGTGTGTTGCAACCAAAGTTGGGAACTGGCCGTCTTAGGTCATTTACCTTTGTGAGTGGCCCAGAAACAGTCTGTATGGGTAGAGGGGTCACTAACAAGTGTCTCCTGAAGTCATCTTTAGAGGCCACAAAAGCCACAGTAATTCAAAAGCACTCTAAAGTAGTTTTTGCAAGATACAATTCTGACTGCACCAAAAGTTAAATACAAAAAGGTCCTTTTAGGAGGAATACTTTCAAGATGATCTGGTCACATTATGTGCAAAGTGAGGGCCACAAGCCAGAAGACATTGCTCCCCCTATGAAGATTACAAGTCAGGGTGGTAGTCTGAGGGTCCCTTTCTCCATCCCAAGACCAAGAGAAGTTTGGTAATGTTCCAGCCCTTCCTATAGATTCTCCTCTCCTCCCCTCACTTCAAGAAGGAGTTTCCCGGGGCAGCTAAGTGGCACAATGGATGGAGCTCCAGCCTTGGAGTCAGGAGGACCTAAGTTCAAATCTGGCCTCAGATACTTGATTCTTACTAGCTGTGTGACCCTGGGCAAGTCACTTAACCCCGATTGCCTCACCCAAGGAAAAAAAAAGGAGTTTCCTCTACTCTCACCTCTCCTTCTGTAAGTTGTCCAAGGCTTTAGGGGAAACGCTGAGAGACTCAACCTCCAGTGTACTGCAGTGTGAGAGCCCCGCAGTCCCTTTGACTTTCACTGTTTTTGGGACATCTACTTCACCCTCCACACGGGCATCCAGCATCTTCTTGAAAGAGAAGTTTCCTGTGTCTGATGGATCTGAGGGGATGAAAGAGGATGAGATGGGGTGCTGGACCAAAGGCATTCCCCAGCTCAGAATGCCATGGGGCCAAGTGGTCAGGCCATCCTCTTTCCTCTATATGGGATGACATTGAACCAATCCCTGCCATGGGAAGAGAGACAGTGCCTTGTTAGCTGGATGCCCAGTTCCTTGTCTGCTTCTGCTTTGTGCCCACCTGTGCTACAAACTGACCTGAAGGTGAGGTCCCTGGCTGAAGAAGGTCTAGGAGGGTATAGTCAGTGCGGACATAACGGGCACCCCAGAACAATGTGCTCTTCCTCTTCCTTAGGACCAGGCAGAAGGGGTGGAAGCGTTTGAAGTCAATGAGGCTGTCCAGGGGGGTCAGATCCCCTCGGGGATTGAGCTGTCTGGCCAGGCCCCGGGTGACATTTTCAAACATGGTCATTGTTCCTGGAGGGAGAGCAAAGAATCAGGTGGCTGCCAGAGAGAGAGAGAGAGAGAGAGAGAGAGAGAGAGAGAGAGAGAGAGAGAGAGAGAGAGAGAGAGAGAGAGAGAGAGAGAGGGAGAGAGAGAAAAAGATGGAGGGTAACTGAGTCATGGAGTGGATAGGTAGGTGGGTTATCCAGGAGGGGGTCTTTTGTAGAACTATAGAATCTTGGAGCTGGAAGAAACCTTAGAGATGATACTGGACCAGTGAAAATGTGAGTTCTAAATAATTATATCATTTAGTGCCCTTATTTTACAAAAAAAGAAACTGAAGCCCAAAAAAAGTTCCCTCAAGGTCAAATAGCATCAGATAGGTACTAGGAGTACTCTTAGGGTTATAAGAGAACAGAGATATCTCTATTTTAGACATCATGGTATAATATAAAGTACTCTATTCAGAAGTCAGAAGACCTGGGATCAAATCCTGGCTCTGCTACTTACTAGCTGTTACTTTAGTCACTTAATTTCTTTGACCTTCGATTTCCTTATCTGTAAAATAGAATTAATAATACTTGCAATAGGGCAGGTAGGTAGGGTAGTGGATAGAGTGCTGGGCCCGGAATAAGAAAGACTCATCTTCCTAAGTTCAAATTTGACCTCAAACACTTACTAACTGTGTGACCCTGGGCAGGTAATTTAGTAACCCTGTTTGCCTCAGTTCCCTCATCTATAAAATAAGCTGGAGAAAGAAATGGCAAACCAGTCCAGTATCTTTGTCAAGAAAACCCCAAATGGGGTCACAAAGAGTTAGACACAATTGAAAAACGACTGAACAACAAAATACTTGGAATACTTCACAGGGTTATTGGGAGCATCAAATGAGATAAAGTGTTTTGAAAACCCTGCAGCACTGTGTGAATATAAGGTACTGTTACTTGTGGCTTCATTTTCTAACTTGGACTGTGTTTTTCTGGTTCAAATATAGGAGTCCTACCTGGGATGGCAAGCACAGCTAAGTCATCATATGTGGGAGGGAGAATATACAACCACTGTGCCTGGAACTGCTGCACCTGTTCTTTGGGTAGCTGGAGATAGAAGGCAAGAGGCACCTGCAGTACCATTCTGACCCAATCAAATGAACCCCAGTATTTATGCCATATTGTTGTTGTTCAGTTGTTTCAGTTGTGTCCATCTCTTCATGACCTTCTGGACTTCTGTCTGTGGGGTTTTCTTGGCAAACATATTGGAGTAGTTTGCCATTTCCTTCTCTAGTGACAAACAGAGGTTAGTTAAGTGACTTGCCCAAGGTCACACACAGCTAGGAAGTTTCTGAGGCTGGATTTGGCCTCAGCTCTTCCTGACTCCAACCTAGTTGCCTCATTTATGCCGTAGTTTCTGGCAGATTCTCAACATGCTAGAATAACCATCCTTGAGAGCTGACTGAGTACACCCTCATAATGCCAGGCCACTGGACAATTTGTCCAGGGGCTGCCTCGTCTCCTCTAGGAAAGGGTGAATAGGAGACTTTCATGCCCAGGCCAATCCAATATGTATTTATTAAGTGCCTATTCTGTGCTACAAAGATGAAAATTAAAACAGTTCTTGCCTTCAAGGAGCTTAAATTCTACCTGTAGGTTACATGTCTCTTTGTCTTCTAGGGGAGTTCCTTTCTCTAAAGCAACTTGATTTATTCTCATTTACTGCCCCTCCCTTACCCTCCAGGTCCCCCTTACACCCCACCCTCTATCCCCTCTCCCATTGCCAAAATCTTTACCAAAGAATGGTGGTGGTGGTGGTGGTGGTGGTGGTTGGGTGCTGTCAGTTGAATGTAGAGGTCACTGTGCTGGGTGGGTCAGATGTTAATCCAATTTGGTCTTCCCAGAGATTCTGGAGTTGAGAGAATCACAGGCTCAGTGGTGTCCGTGGTGGCTCTGGCTGATTTATGCCACTGTGGAGGGAAGGATGGAGGCCACAGAGATCCTGCCTGCCCTGGTGACCCCACCCCAGCCCTCGGGCCACACTTCCGGGAGAACTGCATCAACCTGTTCTCCATGTATCCTGCCCCAGGGCCTGATTTGCCACGGGGCTGAGGGGTTGAGTGGGGAGCTTCCAGGCAGGTGCCAGCGTGGGCGAAGGGAGTCGGACTGGGATGGGAAGTAGCACCTGGATCAGTGGCTGAGATTTGAGGGAGTAGAGTAGCTCAGGGTGTATCTGCGTGGGCTATCCTTCTGTACATTCTTCTGTGATGTTGGAGGAGAACATCAGAGTTGTCAAGGAGAATCCTGGCTTCAGGATCAAATCTTGTCTGGTGTGATAAGAAAATGAAGTCCTTTTTCTGGAGACTCTATCTGGATGCTGAGCTACTGAAGAATAGGGTGTATTCTGTCAGTCTGTCTTTAATCTCACTGATGTATCTCCATACACAGTCAGAATATTCCTCTCTTCAATTTTAAAAATTAAATTAATTTTTTCAGAGGACAAAAAATTGATTTTTCTTTCCCTTTCCCCCACTCCTACCATTAAAAAAACAAACAAAAAGAAAAAAAATACTCTTGTAACAAATATCTATAGTCAAGCCAAACAAATTCCCACATTGGTCACGTCCAAAAATAAATATCTCAGTCTGCGCTCTGAGACCATCCTCCCTCTGTCAGGAGGTGAATAGCAGGCTTTATTATTGGCTCCTCTTCAATTCTTCACCTGCCTGGCATAAGATACTGATATGGGTATATATATATTCACAAACACACACATATGTATGTATAGATGTGGAAGCCCAAGGAATTTGTGTCTCTGTATTTTAGTGGGAATACTATTGGAATACAGTTGGGCAGCTAGGTGGCACAGTGGATAAAGTTTCCCTCCTTCCCCTGTATGACCCTGGGCAAGTCACTTAACTTTATTTACCTCAGTTTTCTCATCTGTAAAATGAGCTGGAGAGGAAATGGCAAACTACTCTAGTGTCTTTGCCAAGAAAACCCTGAATGGGGTCATGAAGAGTCATACATGACTGAAACAGTACTGAACAACAACATTGAACTTGGGAGGCAGGAGACCTAGATTTAAGTCTAGATTTTGTCATTTGCTAGCCTTAGGCAAAAAAAAAATTTTTTTTTTTTTGGCTAGGCAATGGGGTTGAATGACTTGCCCAGGGTCACACAGCTAGTAAGTGTTATGTGTCTGAGGCCAGATTTGAACTCAGGTCTTCCTGACTCCAGGTTCAGTGCTCCATCCACTATGCCACTAGCTGCCCTTAGGCAACCTGGTGGCCTCCAGCTCCCAAGAACTTACCATATTAATGCCAAACTTAGTTTGGGAACCCATTCAGCTCAGAACTCTGGAGCTCAAGAGATTTGCCACCCTCAGCCTCTTTAGGATTACAGACATGAGCCACTATGTCAGGCTCTAACTTTATTTTTGAGTCACAGTTTTCTCATATATAAAATAATTTTTACACTATTTACCTCACAGGACTGTTGTGAGGAAAGTGCATTGTAAACCTTGATGACCTACAGAAGTCAAATCTCGCTATGTAGCTGTTTGGTTTTCCCTGATTTCTGGAATACAACCATTTCTTATTTCCTGCAGGCTTTTTCTCTGCATCTCTCAAGAGGTCAATTAGTTTGAAAAAAAAAAGATGAAGTTTCCTTTTGGAAAGTTTTGTTTCCATTTCCTTGCCTGTTTAACAGCCACATGAAGAAAGACTTTTTGTTATAACTGAAAATAAACTTGGATAAAAGAATCAAAGATACCATAAAACGTGTCTTCCACTCCTGTCTACAATTATTTGCTTAGATTCTTAAAGAAGAGGTCAATTAATCTATTCCTCTGAATGGAAACAACCTTTGGACCCTTTGGCTAAATCCAAACTTCACAGAACAGGAGCAGCTAGGTGACACAGTGGGTAGAACACTGCCCCTGTATTCAGAAGGACCTGAGTTCAAATGTGGCCTCAGATACATAACACTTACTAGCTGTGTGACCCTGGGCAAGTCACTTAACCCCATTGCCTAACCAAAAAAACAAAACTGAAATGAACTTCACAGAACAAATCCCCTTAATGAAAGGATTTGTTCTGTAAAATGTGGACTCTGTCAAAAGGCTGCACCCAAGGACCCAGAAGGCCACATGTAGCCTCGAGATGCAGGTTCCCCACCCCTGTTCTATCCCTTCCCCTTGAAATACAGTCTGAACTTCTTCATTTTCAACCACTAAGAATTTTCTAAGTTCTCATTACTTGGTGAATTCTTCATGGATCCAGAACACATCTATTTCCTGTCATCCCTACTGTATTGTCACTCTGGCCCCTCTGCAAGCCTATTCTGCCTTTCCCCCACCATTATGCTAGCCTCACAAATGACCTATGGCACTTGGCATCAGGGTAGAGGGCTTTAGGGACAAAGGTAGAGTGAGACAGGTGCCTGAGATGTGTGCAAATGTATATGGGCATGAGATGGGGGTTCACAGCCAAGGGTTTAGGTGAAGCTTCATTCATTTCTTACTTTGGAAATAAACAAGGAGGGTAGCTAGGTGATGCAGTGGATAGAGCACCGGCCCTGAAATCAGGAGGACCTGAGTTCAAATCCAGCCTCAGATCAAACACTTGACACTTACTAGCTGTGTGACCCTGGGCAAGTCATTTAACCCCAATTACCTACTTAAAAAATTTTTAAAAAAGAAAGGAAATAAACAAGGAATACTACCTTGCACATAATAGGCTATTAATAAATGTTTGTTGAATTTGAAATGGAGCTGCCCTGGACATTTGCCTTTGTCTTACTCCCTTTCTCAGACCACATACCCTTCTCTATTACCAGCCTTCTCTTCTTCCCAGAATCCTTTACCTCTCTCTCCCCATCCCATCTCTGGCCCCTGCTAGACCCCTCTAGCAACTCTCTCAAGTCTCCCTACGGGTATCATTCACATGATTTCTCTGAGGACCCTGGGGTTCCTTCCGTCTTCCTCTTTTTACATTTCCAAGAATGGAATTTAAAATTAGATTCCATAAGAGTAGTCTTCTGCCCTGTTATAGTGCTTGAATTTAGGAGGCTGGGTGAGGGTGACCCTTCCCTCCATGAAGGTCTCAGACCCACGAGCCTTAGATGCTTAGGACTAGTGCTCTTCAGTGGTATGGAGACAGACAGCTGGGGAGCCCCTGGAAGGACTGGTTAATTTTTTAGCCTCAATGTCTTTGGGAAGTACGTCCGGCCTCTGAGACTCCCTCTGGTGGCAACTCAGGGTTCGTTATCGCGCTGAATGACAGGCGTCCAACCTCAGGTAAGGCTTTGGGGTGAATGGTGGGTAGGCTATGGTAGGAAAACTAATAGTAAAAAGAGAAAGTTTGCGGAGCCTCAAGTGACTACTTCTCACTCTCTTCTGTACCAGAGAAGCATAAGGAAGACACTGGGACAGAAATCACACAACTGCTCGTTTTTTCCTTCTATTTTTGGCAATTTCTCCTTTTTTAAAAAAAAAAATTATTTCCACTCCCTCAGAAGAAGCAAAGATAGAAAGGAAGAAAATAAGAAAAGCAAAGGGCTTAGGGAAGGCTGGCAGCACTGACCCCAAGAGAAAAATGAGCATCCGGCAGGTGGCAGCAGTGGGACCCTGAGAAATCATACTCATGCACTTGTTCATCGTTCTGGAGAGAAAGGGAGACAAGAAAAGATTCCCAAGTGCTAGGGAGCACCATGTATATCCTTCCTGTGAGGTGGGTGAAACATTTGGGGAAAATGGCAATTGCACAGAGACCACCTCTCATTAAAATCCAGTGAGATGGTTATGATTGGGGCTGGGCTAGTTTGTACCTAGTTCTCTGCATGTTGTCTCCCCCATTAGATTGTAAGCTCTTTGAGACCAGGGACTGTCTTTTGCATTTATTTGTATCTCTAGAGCTTAGCACAGTGCCTGGGACACAGTAGGTGCTTAATAAATGTTTATTGACTGATGGAATGATATGGAGAAGGGGGTAAGATCTTGTTGGAATTTGTGTGAATTTGGTGCCCCTTTTTTTTTTAAAGGAAATTTGGAATTTTAAGGTAAAGAGGAAGCCTCCCCCATCCCCATTTCCCTCTAGGTCTCTGATTTAGAGCTATCCCTCAAGCTTCCCTTTACAATTTGTTTCTTGAACAGTTGTTCTTAAATTCCCTATCCCTACACTCCCACCTCAATCCCTAGAAGAATTTTGAGGTTCTTCCCCCCATCCCAAAACTCATTTTGGAATCAAAGCTGCCCCCAAACCTCTGTCTTAGCAGATGGTGCTCAGCCTGTAGAGACTGAGCATGGAGATCAAACTCAGCAGCCAGTCTCACAGTCTCAGCCTTCACGGCTGCCATCTCTGGGCTCTCACCCCCTTTCATCCACAGGCTTGAGTGGCTGAAGAAGTCTTTGTCACCATCTAGACTAAACACTGAGGAGTTTAGCTTATCTCTTGCGGGAAAAAGTTCTAGGCCATCTCTACACTGGAACATCCTAGCTTTGCCAAACCCCTTACTAAGCAAGCTGGTGTGGCAGCTCATGTTCTCTTCCACTTCATGGCTGACTGATGAAAAACTCTTTAACTCTTTGGAGGCCCCGAGTTCCCTACTCTCCCGGGAAGGCAGGTCCCCTAAGCCCTTATCTAGCAAAGTGGACCCCAGGTGAAGCCTTCCTAGGTCTACGGATAGCTCTGACCTGGGGGACAGGGGGTGGATTTGCTCTTCCCTCCAGTTGCCCCCCAAGTCCCACTCCATCTTCCCTATCCCCCCCAAGGTTAGCCCCTGAGTGAGTCAGGGTGGTGTGGATCCGGGGGAAGGGACTGCCAAACCAAGAATTTCTAGATAGTACTTGAAAAACAGAGAGGGCAGCACAGAGGGCACAGAGGGGAGGAAGGGCATCGCGCTCCCAGGCAAAGAGGGGACCATCACCCTGTAGGTCAAGGCCACAGAGACCTATCAGGGCCTGGGTCACAGTCAGTTCCTCTCCTTGGAAGCTTTGGAGGAGCTCACAGTGAAGACGGAATGGTCCCGCTTCAGCTCGAATGAAATTCTGGTCCAGGACGGTCTTCATCTGGTGCTTACAGGGTAGGAGTAGAATGTGTCCCCCATGTGTCCAACCTCTGATTTTGTTGGTTGTCTGTAATACGTTTGAATCATCTGAATCCCAGGCCAGCCTTATTCTTGTTCTCCTCCACCCTTCCAGACCTCTGGTCCTTGTTCTTGCTAGGCTCCCTAGAGGTCATTCAGTAGAGTAGAATGGGTACCCCGTGATCTGTCTCAGTTACTAATGAGGTGCTGGACCTCGGCCAAAGCAGCCTGCCTCCGTGGGCAGTTGCAAAATGGACCTTTTGCTGTCTTGGGCCTCTTCCAGCTCTACAACTCGATTCTGCTCTCTAGTCCTTGGACTCTGTCCTCAATCTCCTCTCCCCAGACCTCCTTACCAGCTCCAGCTGTTGGGAGAGGATCCTCTTCTCCACAGACATGGTTAGCAATTGTTGCTGCTCTTCACTCAGCTCTGGGGACAGAAGAAAAGAAGGGCAGAAGGGTCAGAGAAGGAAGTGGAAGGCAGAGCCTGAGAGCAGAAATGTAAGTGGTCTGTCTGGGAGAGGCTAACCATTGAGACATGGCGAGGAGGCAAGGCCACCCACTCTCTGTCCCCTCTGGAGGCAGTTCAGGGCAGGTGGGCTGGGGAGTCTCCTTTCTTAGGGGGACAATGAGGATGGGGGCTGGGCTGTTTGCCCTTTTGCAGAGTGGGAAGAAGGAGCTACAAATACTGTTCAAACACAGGCATCATGGAAATGTGCTCTATGAAGGCTATTCCACCTCCCACCTCCCCTTACCCTGGAGTGCCCCTAACAGGTAGAGAAAGCTCCCAGCCAGGATAGGGTGGAGTTTGCCTGAGGTATCCTGCAGCTTGGCTAGGATGGTATCCCCAGGGCCCCCTAGGAATCCTTGGGTCACTGGCTCCTCAAGGGCCAATGCTCGGTTCATCTGGGAAAGAGAAAGCCAACAATTTGACAAATACTTATTAAGGCACTGCTGTGTGCCAGGCTCTGTGCTAAGTATGGGAGACATAGAGAAAGGCAGAAACAGGTTCCCTGCTCACAAGAAATTCACATTCTTCCAGAGCAAAGATGCAAATAATGATATCCGTCCAAAATATAGAGAGGGTAAAGGACAGATAATCTAGGAGGAGAAAGAAGTCCTAGCACTGCTGGGAAAGGCCTCCTGAAGAAGGTGGAATTTGAATCTTGATAGGAGTACTCACTGGGCATTCCCAGGACAGGGAAGAGAGGGGAAGGCTATTCCAGGGTAGGAATCATCTCTCACCTTCCAAAAGAAGACCCTTCAAGGGAGGGGAGGTGTCTCCCTCATCACGTGGAGAGCTTAGGCTCCTTTGGGGCCCAGCTACAAATTTTCAAGGATTTTGGGAAGCTGCCTGACTCCCCCCTCTCCTCCACAGCCCATACCCCACACTTGCGCATCTGCCCACTTTACCGTGTCCTCCAGCTCTTGCAGAGCTTTGGCCTGGCCCAGAAGCCCCAGGAGGGCCTCCAACAAAATTGCACTTTGTTCCAGGGTCATGCTCTTCACAATGGGCATCTCTTCTTCCACCTCAGCCTGAAGTGCCTTGAATCCCCTGAGCTCTTTGGAGGGTGGCTCAGGCCATAACCCTGCTTTGGAAACACAACAGCTGGGACCAGTTCCTAAATCCAGAGAGTCCCTGCTAGCATTCATTCATTCAACCAGTAGCTTTCCATACACATCTGGTCATCTGGCCCCTCCCTTTTGCCTTGGAAACTGTCTCCATTTTCAGTCCCTTTGCCTCCTTGTAGTTTTCCTACTGCCCCCAGTGTGGTCCTCCCTCTCTGATTCCTCACTCTCCCCTTCTCCTATCTCCTCCCTCCTCACTCTCCTTTTCCTCCTCTTCCTTTCTCTTTCCTTCTCTCCACCCTCTCCTCTCCCTTCTCTCTCTACTCTTCCTTTCTCTTCCCCTCTCCCTCCCCCTCTTCCTCTCCCCCTCCTTCCTCTTTTTCCTTCTCATTTCCCTCTCCCTCCTCCTGTCTCTCTTTTTTTCTTCTCCATTACCCTCCCCTTCTTCCTCTCCCTCTTTCTCTGTCCCCTTCTCCCAGCTCTGCCCCTCAAGGCTCCAGTTCTAAAGGAACTGTTTGGATAGCAGTGGGGTAGAGCCCCACTTCCTTCTCTTGGATTAGGGCTTTTTGAAGCTCTGGGAGAAAGCAACTCCAATATTTCTTCCTTGGCTTTCTAACTTCCTCACTGTCCAACTCTGGTTCCCTAGATGGAGCCCGGTGGTGAAAGGAGGAGACAGTTCAGCTCCTTACGTCCTGTCTGGCCTGTGGGTCCTGCAATGAGGGCAGAAGCAAAGTCAGGGACACCCTAGGGGAGGCAGACACAGAGAGACAGACAGTAGTGATTAATGGTGCAGATGCTAATTTAACCTCTATACCTCTTCCCCTCTTCAGCAGATAGCTTGGGGACAAGGAGGAGCAGCAGAATACCCTAAGAAGCTTTTGCAGAAGAATTCTAGTCTCTTTCTCACTGTGTCCTACCTCCCACCCCCACCTCCATATATTTATGTGAAATTAATCTCACCATCTTCTTCCCACCCCCATCATTGGCTCACAGCACCTTTACCACAGCTTTTTCCCACTTCCAGAGCTTGGGGAGCAATGCAAACCCTCCCTACCCAAGAATTTCTTTACTCCTTTAAGCCCAATCAGATGATGGAAAAAAAAGAGAGGGGAGAGGAGGCCCTTGGCCATACCTACCTTCAGAGGAGGTGAAAGTTTTCAGCTTTTTATCTTTGAGATGGGAGATGTCTGCAGTAGATAGAGAAGGGGAAGGCAGAGGTTATCACTGATTCCTTGCTGTGTCTAGGAACCCACCAAGGAAGGCAGGGAGACCAGGAGTGCTTAGAGAAGCAAAAGGGGAGCAAAGGAACTGTAGTGGGAAATTGAGAAATCCGAGAGTAGGGAAAGAAATGTCTCAAGGGAGCTTTGGGCTATAGACTCTATCTGGGGGACTGGGGAGAAAAGGGCTAGGATGGAAATCTAGTAGGAGAATGGTCTGGGCACTGATCCTTGAAGTGCAGCGACCCACTAGGAAGACAAGTTTGCTTCCCTCTTTCCCCATCCTCCCTTTATGGCAACATACCCCAATTTTTCTCTCCAATGACAAGCTGCTTTAGCTGGAAGGCCAGGACTGAGCCCAGAGGGACATGAATGATGGTATTGAAGTTAAAGGAACCCTGGAGGAAGCCGGGAGATCCACATGGGAAAGGAGAGAAATAAAAGAGTAGGGATTATAATCGTGATCATAACTTATATTTGTGTAATACTCTATGGTTACAAAACACATAGATGCACATGTACATTATTAGGATTTTTTTTTTTAAGGAATTAGTTTTTTCAATGAGCTTTTGTACCTCCTTTTCCATTTGGCCAATTCTACTTTTTTACGGAGTTTTTTCTCCAGAGAATTTTTGTGCCTCTTTTTCCATTTGGCCAATTTTACTTTTTAAAAAATTAATTTATTCATTTTTAATTTTCAATATTTACTTCCATAAAATTTTGTGTTTTAAATTTTCTCCTTTTCTCTCTCCTCCCCTTTCTCCCAATTTTGCTTTTCAAGGCATTCTACTCCTCATTGGATTTTTGCACCTCTCTTACCATTTGGCCTAGTCTGTTTTTTAAAAAATTAATTTATTTTGATTTGTCAACAATTACTTCCATATGCTTTTGAGTTTAAAATTTTTCTCCTTCTTCCTACTAGTCTGTTTTTTAAGGCGTTATTTTCTTCAGATTTTTTTTGTGCCTCCTTTACCAAGCAGTTGACTCTTTTTTTATGATTTTCTTACATTACTCTCATTTCTCTTCCCAGTTTTTCCTCTACCTCTCTTACCTGGTTTTTGAAATCCTTTTTGAGCTCTTCCATGGCTTGAGATCAATTTGTATTTTTCTTGCAAGTTTTGGATGTAGGAGTTTCGACTTTGTTGTGTCTCTGAGTATGTGTTTTGGTCTTCTTTGTCATCATAGTAACTTTCTATGGTCAGAATTTTTTTCTCTTGTTTGCTCATTTTTCCAGACATTTCTTGAGTCTTAACTCTTTGCTAACGTGGAGTTCTGCTTCCAGGGTGGAAGGCGCACTGTCCCAAGCTTCAGGGGTTTTATGCAGCTCTTTTCAGAGATACTTCTAGGGACCTGCAAGTTTTTAGTTCTTCCAAGGTGATATGATCTTAGGAGAGATGTGTTTACTACTCTCCTGGCCTGTGCTCTTGTCTCTGAGTCACCACAAACACTCTTTTCTGCCCTGGAACTGTGATGAGGGTTTCTGCTGCCCTGTGACCATAAGCTCTGCTTTGCTAATGCTCCTCCTTGCACTGGGACTGCCACCCAGGACTGTGACCTGGATCTGGCCAAAGCAACAGAGACTTGCCTCAGTGCTAGTAAAGAGACCCCTGTAATCTCCTTCTCACCAGTTGTTTGACCCCCTTACCATTTGTGGGCTGAAAGCCCAAGAAGCAGTCACTGCCACTGCTGATTCAGTGGCTCCCAACCTGCTCCTGGTTTACTGGGTCTTGGTCTGGGTCTGTGCTGGTGCAGCCTGCACTGGACTGTGCTCTACTCTCATCCAGGTGAGACAGACCCTTCCTGCTGACCTTCTAAATTGTCTTTGGCTAGAAAATTATTTCATCCCATCCTTTTGTGGGTTCTATCACCCTGGAATTTGTTTTAGGGCATTCTCTAAAGGTGTTCAGAGGGGTTTTGGGGAGAGCTTAGGTGAGTCCCTGCCTTTTCTCTACCATCTTGGCCCATTGTTAGGTTATTATAGTGGAAGGAATGCTGGATTTAGAATCAGAGGACCTGGGTTCAAATCCCACCTCTAGCTCATCTTAAGTCACACAGCTAGGAAGTAGTGGAAGTAGGAGAGGGACTGAGGAGGGAGGGACTCAGGTTGAGGGGGAACACAGGAGTGAAGGATAGAGTAGAGCAGAGAGAACCTCTTCTTGTTTAGTTGATTACTCACATCCAACTCTCCATGACCCCATTTGAAATTTTCTTGGTAAAGATACTGGAGTGGTTGACCATTTCCTTCTCCAGCTCATTTTACAGATGAAGAAACTGAGGCAAAAAGGTTGAGTGACTTGCCTGGGGTCACAGAGCTAGTAAGTGGCTGAGGCTGAATTTGAACTCAGGTCTGATCCTCTATCAACTGCGCCACCTAGCTGCCCCTAGCAGTGTGACCTTAGTTAAGTCATTTACTTTCTCTGTGCCTCAGTTTCCTGAAAACTTAAAATGGGGATAATCTGTTTTTCAAGGTTAATGTGAGGCCCAAATGAGAGCATAGGATAAGTTCTGCGAAACATTGTAAGTATAATACAGATAATGTCCTAGGATTTTGACTTGGAAGAGACCTTAGAAGGTTTGGAGAGAAGGGAGAGGACCTGTGATTTTATTGCTATAGGAAACTCCTAGATGAGGAAAGTTCCTGTACCAATGCAGGTCAGTAACTTCTCTGCAACTTATAGCCTTGAAAAGTAGCTTAGAGCACTGACTTAGGGGTTAAATAACTTGCCCAGGGTCACATAGCCAGGGTGTCAGAAGTAAAGACTTGAACTCTTTTCCTAGTTTCCAGGTCAGCTCTTTATTCACTGTGCCATGATGGGCACCTAGGTGAATAGAAGGCTGGGCCTAGAGTCAGGAAGACCTAGTTAGGAAAGATGGTGCAGCTAGGTGGTGCCATAGTGCACAGAGTGCTGGGCCTGGAGTTAGGAAGACCTAGTCAAGAAAAATGGGGCAGCTCGATGGCGCCATAGAGCACATGGGCCTATAGTGAGGAAGACCTAGTCAGGAAACAGGAGGCGCTAGGTGGCGCCATAATACACAGAGCACTAGGCCTGGACAAAGGAAGACCCAAGTTCTGATGCAATCTTAGATGCTTACTAGCTGTTCACCCCAGGCACGTTACTTAACACTCTGCTTCCTTCAGTTTTTATTCAACTGTAAAATGGGAAAGATAATAGAACCTATTTCACAAGGTTATTGCAAGCATCAAATAAGATAATATTTGTAAAGTGTAAGTACAGTGCCTGGTTCATAGTAGGTAATTAATAGGTAATTAATAAATGTTTTGTTTACTTCTCCATCTCATTATAAGATCATAGCTTTAGAGCTGGAAGGGACCACAATCAAGAGGAGAAGGCTAAGGGCCTGGATTCTTTAAGGAAAAGGACCTGAGGTATATAATGTATTTATGTCATTATAGCCTTGGCTTTCCCAGTGTGATGTAGGGTGGGTGAGCACCAGGAAGAGCCAGAGGCCTTAGAATTCCAACCTTGAACCCCATGGCCGTGAGGAGAGGGATGGAAATGCCGGCACCAGCCTTTCTCCCCTTCTCCAGCTTAGCATCCTTCAGCGTCTCCACTGCCTCGGTCACCATATACAGATTCTCCCCACGCTCCCGAAGCCTCTTCAGGAAGGAGGGCTCTGGCTTCTTCAGTTTCCTGGGAGAGGAAGAATCATGGTTTTCATTGGGGCTTTGGAATTGCATGTGGACAGCAGCTTTTCTTCCCACATGTCTCCTCTGCTGTCTAGCTGTCCCACTCTGGGCAACCCCTTCCCTACTCCTCCTGGGCTCCGGACATTATAGTGGGACAGCCCAGACACCAGACAGTCAGTCAGTGATTGCCATAGGAGTGTGCCACCTGGCTTGACACACTTGATTTACCTGAAATGTGTATGTGTCTCTGAGTTCATTATATGGCTGCTAGGTGGTACAGTGAGGAGGGAGGGACTTGAGGTCAGAAAGACCTAACTAGAGTGGTCAGATTCAGACCTGAGTTTGAATCCTGTCTCAGACCCTCCCTAGCCAAGTTACTGAACCTTTTTGGTACTCAGTTTCCTCAACTGTAAATCAGGGATAATCCTAGCACCTACCTCCCAAGGTTTGTAAGGATCAAACAAGGTAACATATGAGAAACACCTTGCAATCCTTAAAGTGGTAGATAAATGCTAGCTCTCAATTATTCACAGGTGCCTATGTAGGTTTCTCTCTAAGTGTCTGTTTTTAGGTGTTTTTGTGCGTCCATGAATGCATGTGACTGTGTTTTTGCATTTATGAAAACCCATGTATTTGTGGCTTTGTTTGTGAGTATCAGGGTATCTCTATGTCTTTGCAAGCCTGTGCTTGCAGAAAGAGGGCAGCAGGGCTGGACCGTATTAGAGAGATCTCTGTGCTGGCTCTTATCATCTACCCTTCAGCCATCCCTTACCAACCTGGGCTTTACCACTTCTTTAAGGATTCCAGCTGATCCATGATGCTGAGCTTCTGAACCTCCAGGCAGTTTTTATGGGAGCCACTGGCAGAGATATTGATGTCCACAGGTATCCCAATGGCTGTAGTCTTCACTCCAGCCTCCATATTCCCTTCACTGTTCCCTTGAATTGTGATCTTTGTGTCTTTTCTTGGCACTGCCAGACAGAGACAGCAGAGCTCATTCTGTCACCCCGCTCCAAACCCAAAAAGTACCTGGATTTCCTCCCAGTAACAAATGTCCCTCTCCCTCTCCTCCAAAGGCAAAGAGGCCAGGAGAGGAAAAAAATCCAGAGTGGCTCAAACTTGAGTGTAAGGAATTTGAACAGCCTGTCTTGAGGGCACAGAAAAGATAGCCAAAAAGCAGGATTCCTAAGGCCAGTGCAAAGGTATTAGCTACCAAATTAGGAATTGGACATGAGATCCAAATGAGAATTGTTCCTAATCCTCTAGAAACCATAATGGGTCTATCTCAGCCTTTCAATGAAGGATGGAAGCGGGCTAGACCAATCAGTAGCATGATAATCCCAAAGGTTATGACCTCAAGTGGGGGTTCTTAACCTTTTTTGTGTTGTGGACCCCCTGAGCACTCTGGTGAAGCCTATGGACCTGTCCTTAGTAGAATATTTTTAAAGGCATAAAATAAAATATGTTGGGTTACAAAGGAAAGCAATTATATTGAATAGTTATAAAAATGTTTTAAAAAAATAAGGTCAGAAACCTTGGTTAAGAACATCAGATCTAGAAGAACGATCTCTGACCTAAAAAGAGAACATTGACAGGGACCATCTGGGAGCTACCATTTTGTGATTTAGTCCTGTACCCAGCTACTTAGTGACATGAGTTTGTATCTGTAATTTGCCTAAATTGTACAGTGAAATGAGTATATATATATATATATATACACTGGCTAACTGGAAACCTTAGAGAGCTCATGATCTCTATTAAGCCTGCCCTTTCTCCCAATTTCCCTCTTTAGGTTGATACCATCACCATTCTTGCCCATACTTAGACTCATAAATCTTCTCTCTTCGTCATCATTCATATCTACTCAGTTGCTAAAGGCTATAATTAGTACTTTTTGTCCCTCTCCATATTCCCTCTTCTCCCTTCTTTTTTCCTCCCCCTCCCTCTGAGCTTCCTCTTTTTCTTCTCTCCTCTTCTTTTTCCTTCCTCCTGCCTACCTTTTTCCTCCCTCCCTTCCCCTTCCTTTGTTTTCCCTCCTGCTTTCTTTCTTCTTCCTCCTTCTCGCTCTCCCAGTTTCTTCTCTTTTTCTCCCTTGTCTACTTTCCTTCCTTCATTTTCTCTATCGTCTCTGGGATCCTTTCAAGCCTCTTTTGTTCAGTTCAGTCATTTGCCAGTTGTGTCCGACACTTTGTGACCCATTTGGGCTTTCTTGGCAAAGACACTAGAGTGGTTTGCCATTTCCTTCCCTAGCTTATTTTACAGATGAAGAAACTGAGACACACAGAGTAAATGACTTGCCCAGGGTCACACAGCTAGTAAGTGTCTGAGGCTGAATTTGAATTCAGAAAGATGAATCTTCCTGACTCCAGGCCCTGAGCTCTATCTACTGTGCCACCTAATTGCCCTGTCTCAAGCTACCAGTCCTAGGCTATTATACTACTGTTATTACGGATATCCCTGCATCTAGTTTCTTCCCTCTCCAGTCCATATTGAACAGTTCTGGTCATGTCATTTATCTAAAAAAACAACTTTAACTGGCTCCCTATTGCTTATAGGAATACACACACACACACACACACACACACACACACACACACACACACTGTCTGTCTCTCTTTCTCTCTCTCTCTCTCTCCATATATATATAGTGTGTGTGTGTATATGTGTGTATATACATACATAAATACATACACACATATATTGCCATAGCATGGTACAATAGAATGAGCAGTGGCCCTGAAGTCAGAGAATCTTGATTCATAGACACTATGCGACATTAGGCAAGTCACTTAACCTCATTGGGCATCAGTTTCCTCATATGTAAAGTTGGGGTTTTGGATCAGATGACCACTGAGGTCTTTTCCCATCTTAGATCCATGATCTTACGGCTGGCTTTTAAGGCTCTTCACAATCTGGGTCCAACCTACCCTTCTAGCCTCCTTCCACATTACTCCCCTTCAAATACTCCATTTTCCAAACTCTGTTTCTAGCTGGTTCTTGATATTAACCTACCAACTCCTACCGCCATGCATTTACTCAGGTCAGACTTCATGCCTGGAACACACTTCATCCTTATAGCTATCTGTTGAAATGGTTTTTCCCCTTCTGGTCGTAGCTCGGTGCTACCTTTTCTATGAAGCCTTTAGGGATCACTTTCTCTCAGCTGAAAACAGAAAGTATTGTCTCTTCTTCCTCAAATTTCCCTGCAGTACTTTGTCTGAATTTTTCATTAGCTCCAATCATACTCTACCATGGGTTATGCTTGTGTGTTTACATGTATTCTGTCCCTACCTCCCCCTCATCAGGGCTCTGGGCATTTTCTCTGGCTGTCTTCCATGTCTGGAAAACTATCCCTCCACCACTCCAACTACTGACTTTCCTGGTTTCCTTTAAGCCCCAAGTAAAATTCTACCTTCCACAGGAAGCCTTCCCTAATCCCTCTTAATTCCAGTGCTTTCTATCAGTTAATTATTTTCTATCCATCCTATATATAGCTTGCTTCCTATGTATTTGTTTGCATGTTGACTCCCTCATTAGATTGTAAGCTCTTTTAGGGCAGGGACTGTCTTTTGCCTCTCTTTTTTATCCCTAGAGCTTAGCACAGTGCCTGGAATGTAGTAGGTAAATAAATGTTCATTGGTTAAATGTAAGATTCTTGAGGGCAAGACATTTTTTTTTAAGTCTTTACCTTCTTAGGAGATGTTTAATAAATATCTGTTTAACTGAGAAGAGGTCTTTTTGGAGAGCTACGTTTTCTGGATAGATGATGATTTATCCCTTTAAGAAAAAAAACTTGAGGAGCAGCTAGGTGGCACAGTGGAGAGAGCACTGGCCCCGAAGTCAGGAGGACCTGAGTTCAAATCTGCCCTCAGACCCAAAACAAAACAAACACTTGACACTTACTAGCTGTCCTCTGACTGCTTGGGTTTTGGGAACCACTGGCATATCTATATCCTTAGGGAAAAAAGGAAGGGAGAGAGGGAGAGAAGAGAGGGAGGGAAAGAGGAAGACAAGAAGGGAAGGAGAAAGGAAGAGAGAAAAGGAGGGAGGGAGGAAGGGAAGTTACTTAACCCCAATTGCCTCACCCCCCCCCAAGAAAAAAAGAATAGAAACTTGTATTTTATTTAAGCCCTTTAGGATTATTGTTGCTGTTTATGTATTTTCAGTCCTATCTGACACTTAGTGACCCCATTTAGATGTTTCTTAGCAAAGATATTGGAAGTTTGTCATTTCCTTTTCCAGATCATTTTACAGATGAGGAAATGGAAGCAAAGAGGGTTAAGTGACTTGCCCAGGGTCATACAGCTAGTATCAGAGGCCAGATTTGAAGTCAGGAAGATGAGTCTTTTCTGACTCTGGGCCCAGCACTCTCTCCATTGTATCACCTTTAAAATTATGTACCCCATACTTCCCACCTCATTAAAAATAACATACTGAATACAATTTAATGAACATGGTACCGTATTTTTTTTTGGTGGGGCGTAGGCAATGGGGTTAAGTGACTTGCCCAGAGTCACACAGCAAGTTAGTGTTATAGGTCTGAGGCTCCATTTGAACTCAGGTCCTCCTGACTCCAGGGGCCAGTGCTGTATCCACTGCACCACCCAGCTGCCCCAGTGGTACTACATTCTGAGTGATGTCCTTAGGTGTATAGGTGTATAGGCCTGTACCAAATGGTTCCAGAGAGCTTTCTGAATTCTTGTGCCTCCTTTGTATGAATTTCCTTTTTTCCCCCCTAACTCAGACTGTCAGCCATCTCTTTTCCTTGCTGTTACCTGGGTTCAAGTCCTATCTCTCACATATCATGACTATAGGATTCTGGGCAAGTCATTCAATTCTTAGAGCTCTAGGCAATTCTCTAAGACAATAAGTGGAAGAGAAATGCCAACCAACATTGGTAGAGGGACTTTCCTCACCTGGGAATTCCTATACTAGTGAAATCACAGTTCCAGTCCTAATCTCTAACCCTATCCAAGTGAACTTGCCAATAATAGACTCTCTCCTAACTTGCTGTGAGTTAGTGTTTTAAATAAGAAAAAATAGGCTTTGAATAATGGCCAGTGTAGAATGCATGAGTACATGGACCTGGTGACCTCCATCTTGGCTGCCCAGAAGCCTTTCTTTTGCTTTCTTGCTAGCCTGTGCCTGTGTTTTGGGTAGTTGAGGTCAGTGGAGGTAGTCTGAATAAGAGATAAGTCTCTTTGTGATCAGAATCATGTCCCCCCACCCCAGCCCCAGCCCTTGTTAGAATAAGCCCACCTCTCATAATATTCATTCCTCTCATTCATTGTTAACCAGTGAGAGTCGATTTGCCACCCTCAGGAATACCCACTCTTCCAAGGGCATATAAAGCATTGAGTGGGTTCCATGAGAGGTCTTTGGCATTCAAGAGTGCCACTGATCCCTTTTATTAATTATTTGCTAGCATGATTAATAAAATGATTAATTACCCAGAAATTATGTCTCTCGAACTTTTTATACCTCACAGTCCCTTACACTACAGGAAAATTTAGTCATGCACTCAAGCCAGCTGTAGGAACTAGATTACAGTAAGAGAAAACAAAAGCCTCCATTAGGGTACCAGGATAAGAAGGGGCTTTCTAGGACTCAGACAGGACTGTAGATTTAGAACTGGAAGGGACCTTAGTGGTTCTTCTACTCCAACTCCCTCATTTTACAGATGAAGAAACTGAGGCCATAGGTGTAGTGAGTTCCCTAAGGTCACACAGTTTATAAGTGACAGAGGCAATCTTTGAATGCAGGACCTCTGAGTCTAGGGCTGCAGCTTTTCCTGCTGGACCACACTGCTGGTGGGGAGAGAGCAATGCAGAGGGGCTAGGAGCTGGGAGAGAACAGAGGTGGGGTGTGAGAAGAGGCGAATGAGCCCAGCTGTTCTATGCTAGGGTCTCGGTAGCAAGTGTCCTTGAAGGTAGACTCACTGGTATATATTTGGGGAGATTGATAGTATTCTTTAGGTTGTTGAGAATGGGTGGAGACAGAGAGGAGGAGGGGCCAGGTGAAGGGGTGCTCTTCAGGTATTGTGCTTTATAGTTTCCTTTTGGGGATGAGCATCAGGAGATTGGTGGTATTTGGGTCCCCCTGCTTCAATCCCTGTGGCTACCTTATGCTGACCTCTGCTAGTTGGGGGTGGGGGAGAGGTGAGGCTGTGATGATAAGGCATGGGTGGTCAGGGTCAGAATATGTTATATCCCTAAGAACACACTCTCCAGCTCTAAAGGCAGCTAGGTGACACAGTGAATAGAGGGCTAGAGTTAGGAAGACCTGAGTTCAAATCCTGTCTCTGACATTTCTGAGCTTTGTGATCCTGGGCAAGTTACTTAACCTCAGCCTAGCTCAGTTTCCTCATCTGTAAAATGGGGGTAAGAATAGCCTCTACCTCCCAGAATTGTTGTGAGGATCAAATGAGATATTGGTGAAGTCTTAGCACAGTGCCTGGTACATAGCAGGTGCTTAATAAATTCTTGTCTTCTTTTCTTTCTCCCTCCCTCCTTCCCTTCCTCCTTTTCTCTCTTCCTTTCTCCTTCCCTTCTTGTCTTCCTCTTTCCCTCCCTCTCTTCTCTCCCTCTCTCCCTTCCTTTTTTCCCTAAGGATATAGATATGCCAGTGGTTCCCAAAACCCAAGCAGTCAGAGGACAGGGACCCTGACGTCCACAGAAAGTTTCTGTGTGACAGAAAGATACTTCCTCACCCTTTAACTGTGGACGGTGGCACTCAAAGAGGGAACTCATGATCTACGGCGTGAGAACTCCCTACGCTGCCCCCACTTACTTGCAACCCATTCCACTCCAGTGTTTCCTTTGCTATGCAGCTACTTGCTACTAATTGCACTCAATGCATATTCACCTCTAGATATGATAATGTTCCAAGTCAGTGCCTTGGATCTATGCCTTATTCCTTCTTTCTCTGTATGCCCTTCTTAGTGTCTGTGGGCTGGGAGCTTTTTCCTCTCAGACCTCTTTGAGATTCATAAAACCTGTGTGCCGCTGGGTGAGTGGCTCTGATGGAGTCTCCACCCCTCTTCCTGCCTGGTTCCATTCCTCTTCTCATCCCTCCACCTCTTTCCATATCCGGAATGTAGCCATGTTAGAAACATCCAACCCCATGTTGTAATTAACAAGGCATCAACAACCAATCCCTAGTGTCTCCCTGACTGACTTTGGAAGTAGGCAACCAATCAGATGTCCTGAATGAGACCCTCCCACCCTAAAAAAAAAACCCTTGGCCCTTCCTTCCCTGGGTTGCTGAGCTGCCCTGATGTGTGAAGGATGGAACCCATATGTGCCCATATTGAAAGCAGCAGTGAGGAGAGCTTGGCCTGGCTTGGGCATGCCAAATCCAGAGGGCATCCTCTTGTAGGTTCATCAGCCCCCTGCTTCCTCCTGCCATGGTCTCATGAGCAAAGAACTGGCAGCCAGATGAGGTCCCTCTAGTGACTAAGATCCAGTTGCATCCTTTGCCCTTGACTCCTCTTCTCTTCCTCATGACCTTGGGTGAGGCAGTATGACTTTCCTTGTGTGAGTTAAAATGCCTGGACCAGACTTGGGATTTCTCTGGCATAGGGCAAGCTTCTTTTGAGAAAACACCTTGAGCCAATGTAGGTCAGCCCCTTCTCTATACCTTAGAGTGACAGCCTGGAGGATGGAGAGATTGTGCCTTGCCCTGAATCATACAGCCAGTGTGTGTTAGAGGTGGATTTTGAACTCAGGCCTTCCTGACTCTAAGATATGCTCTTTATCCACTAAGCCACACTGCATCTTTGTGACTTAAAATATGCCTGCAATCAAAGCCTATTGTTTTTAGCATCACTGGCCATCTTCTAGGGATGCATGTTGGACCCAAAGCAGCTGCAGTGAATTGGTACAGTGCCCGCCCTGCCAGGCTTTACCTTGTTGGCACTCAAGGCCAAGAGGAGATGGGCAATTGAATAAACCAGTTGTTGGGTTTTTTTCCTTGTCCCACCCATGAATGCAATGGCCTGAGGACAGTATGTGTAGCTGGTATGTCTCCAGGGTCCTCTGCATGAGTGCTGTGTTCCTGATCATGGAAGGGATATGTGTGTGTGTGTGCGTGCGTGCACATATGTGGAGGGGGGTTACTATTATGGATGACTATACCTGGCAGCTTAGTTCCGGGCTCCAGCACGTCTCTGAGAGAGAGGTCTGTCTTGACATATCGGGCTCCCCAGAAGAGTGTACCCTTCCTCTTCCTTCGCACCAAGCAGAAGGGCCGAAAGTGTGAAACATCAACGATGCTCCCTAGGGCAATCAGGTCCCCCATCGGATCCAGCTGCCGTACCAAGGACTGGGTGGTGTCTCGAAACACGGGAGCCATGCTTGCTAAGACCTGGTGGAGAATGTTGGAGGATGGATGAAACAAGAACAGGTGATCTCTGCCTGTACCTAGCCACCTCCACTCTCCTCAGTCTTGACCTGGATTCTTTCCCCTATCCCTTGTGGGAGACCCTCCCCTAGAACTGGATGGGCACACCCTGGCAGAACACGTGGCACTTCCCTTTCACTCCTGGATACCATCCAGCACCTCAGCCCACTGTTGGCTCCTTCTTCCCAAATTCTCTCACATCTTCTGACCCTATCCCCACTGCCCCACTTTGGAAGAGTTCCCACGTACCCCTGCCCTTGGGCTGGCTTCTCTGACTTAGCTGAAGCAGTTGTTTCTGGCTCCCACCTCCCCAGCCCCTGCAACCCCACAGGTCTTCACCTAGGGACCTGAGGAGAGAGAAGCAACAGATGTCTCTCCCCATATAGTTCCCCAAACCCTACCTTTTTTACTAGACTTCTCATTCATTTGCTCCTCTCTCCATCCCCTGTATCTCTCATATAGAGGAGAGAGGAAACTGGAGAGAGGACAGGCCAATGTGAATGAGGAGAATGTTGCTCTTCTGCCCACCCCATACCACCACAAAGGTCTTTGCCAGAGATTGGTCCTCTCAGACCCCCAGGAGCCCTCAGGGTGACCCCCTCTCACTTATTGGATTCCTTGTCTTTTTCCCAGCTCACCTTTGGGTGGTCAGAAGTGCCCAAATGGTTTCAGAGTAAGCTGAAGGCTGGAGAGGATCCTTTTCTCTGTAGACTCTAGGCTCACCTTCAAGAGACTGGTTTTGGATGCCTCTCAGGTACGATGGGCACATCAAATGGGGCTCCTGTGTCCGTGTTAATGGAGAGATAGGTGTGCCCCACCTGTCCCCACCCTTATGTCCCCATACAGTCCACTTCCCAAAAGTCAGCATAACTTGTCCCAGCCTGCCCCTAGGGAGTGGGGAGGGAAGGGCACTGGAAGGAGAAATGGTGAATCTGACAGTATTCACATGGGGGGGGGGTAGAGGAAGGGGGCATCTGGCCCAAAGAGTGCCCATGAAAAGATCATGTCCTTTCCCTGTGAGAAGCCTATTAGGGACAAAATGGCTGGTCATAGGTGCTGCCAATTTGTGAGTTAAGAGACTGCCAGACCCCTAGCATTTCTAAGTGGTTGGATTTGTATATATGGGGAATGGGTCATTAGATTTCTACCATTTCCTAGGGAAAGAGGAAGGGGAGACAGAAGGTTTCAATCTCTTCTTGGATGGGTCAATCTGGAAGAAATCAGGAAAGCTTGAGAGTGATGAATACAGAGCCCATTCAGCCAAAAGACTGGGTGTGATTTTTTTTTTGGAAGGTGGGAGGGTGGGAGGCAAAAAGAAGTATGGGAGGAGGCATCAGAAAAGCGACAGGGCAAAGGAAAAAAAAAGGCATCAGGTGTGGGTGAGAGTGGATAGAAATTAAGTGATAGGGGAGGAACCAGGTTTTCATCTCTTATGAACTCCCACTCCTTGACTCTGCCCATGGGCCTGTATCCCACAGAGGGTGGAGACACTGAGAAGATGGTCCTTATCTCCAGTTTCCATTGGCAACCCACAAGCCACCGAGACACAGCCCTTTCTCTCCCAGACACAGTTTGAAGGTCATCCTCTGTGGGTGCAGGGGGAAAGGAAGTGGCATTTTGAGATGCCTCCAAGGAGCTGTAAGGGTCATTTCAGCTCATTGGCAGCCAAATCTGCCCAGAGTCTTCCTGAACTTCTGCTAAACTCTAAGCAGATTTAAGTTCAGGACCAACTTCCCCCCACCTTCTTCTTCATTTTCCCTGGGGAGAAGATAAGGAATGCTGGTCTTTCCCCTGATGCTTTCTCTGTTCTTTCCAGGACTGGGGAGACTGATATGAGGGGGTAGAGAGAAAAAACAGTGCCAATAGCCAATCTCATCCTACTGATCAATATCTGGGCATACCATCTCGTTTCCCATCCCCCAAGATTCCCTAGTATATCATCATTAATTCACAGCTCAGTTCAGGTTTCTTGTGTCCCTGCTCAAATAGACTCTGGTATCAGGAGGTAGAGGGTGGGAGGGAAGGAGGAGACAGGGATCAAGTCCAGCATGGAGGCCCCAGGGGTGGAGGTGACGTTACCAGGGGAACTGTAAGCCAAGACTACTTGCTGTGTCTGCCACAGCAAGAAACTATGGGAAAGGTATTTGAGAAGCTACAAATTGTACCTTTATTGAATGTTTTCTAATACACTAGGGATGGGGGTAAGGGAGGCTTATCAGACCACATATCCTCATCTTCCTCTACCTCCATCCCCCTCTCCCAGCCTGATGTATGATGAGATCTCTTGTTTAACAAGGAGGTAGCACTAGTGTGTGTGTGTGTGTGTGTGTGTGTGTGTGTGTGTGTGTGTGTGTGTGTGAACAGTCCTGTGTATAAGAGCCCACAAATTGACAGCACCTATGCCCAGCCATTTTGTCCCTAATAGGCTTCTCACGGAGAAAGGATGTGATCTTTTCACAGGCACTCTTTGGGCCAGATGCCCCCTTCCTCTACCCCCTCCACATGAACACTGTCAGATTCACCATTTTTCCTTCTAGTGCCCTGTGTATAAGAGACGTGGGGATTCTGCATGGGGGACAGGATTGGAACTAGAGCTGGCTAGGGGAAGGACAAAGGATAAACTAAGGAAGGTAGAACTTTGGGGCAGGAGATTGGGGCAGGGGAGACTAAGGTTTAGCTGACTGAGTGGAGAAAGGATGAGACACAGAGGGAAGAGGGTAAATACTTAGGGGAAGCAGAGTTGGTCAAGATGGGACAGAGAAGAGGTTTAGGTAATAGAAATGGGAGAGACAGAAGTGGATGGAGCAACAGCATTAGGAAAACAAGGGGTCTAGGGCAGAGAGGATGAGAGAAGACGGTCAGAGCAGAGGTGCCCAGGAGTGAAAGGGAAGGGAATGATCCAAGCATCACATAACAGTGCTGAGCACGGATGAATCCTCAGAGCGGGTTGGCAGGGGAGGAGGCGGTTTTGGTGGACGACGGGCCTCTTCCCGGTTCCTACGCACGTAGTGAACAAGATAGGCCACGACTAGTGCCAGCCAGCCTCCCATGGTGACAAGCAGGGCAGCATCTGTGCCTCGCCGGGCGCCACCTCTCCCGCTCCCACACATTTCTGCCTCCTCTATCAGTGACAGAAACTCCCGTCCTACCAGCTCTGGCCGGGCACTTGGTCCGCAGACAATGCCTGCCCCAGTGCCAGGTGCCAACCTCACCCATCTCAGCACCTCCTGAAGGGCACAGTCACAGCGCCATGGATTGGCAGACAGGTTCACTTGGATCTGTAATTCCCTAAAAGCCTCAGCGGGCACAGATGTCAGTTGGTTGGCAGAGAGATCCAGGTATCTCAGGGTGTTCCCCAGACCCTGGAAGGCAGCATCTGAGAGGCGGACGAGGACATTGTGTGACAGGTCTAGCTCAGCCAGGGCAGGAAGATGCTGGAAGGCACCAGCAGGCACAGATGCCAGCCGATTGGCATCTAGGTAGAGTTTACGGGTGTCATTTGGGATGCCTAGAGGCACAGCAACCAGGCCAGCCTGGCTGCAACGGAATGTACGCTCACCAGCTTCCTCTGCCACATAGCAGCCCCGGGGAGGTGCCCGGGCACTGGGCATAGTGCCCCCCATGTCCATCACCAGCAACAGGAGGAGGGGAAGATGAATGGCTGGCAGGATCATGACCACAGACTGGCATAGTTCTCAGGCTAGGCAGGATCTGAAGAAAGTAATTGCCCCCCCCCCCAAATACTCCTACTGATACTGCTCAGGGGGTATCCAGGAAGGAATCCTAGTCCTTACTTTGTGGGATCTATCTCTGTGGGGTTTAGGTGTCTCTAAATTCTACCCACAGGGTCTCTAGTGGGTCCATGGGTCCCTCTGTGAGATCTTTATCTGAGGTCCCTTTGTTGAGTGACTGGTAGTCTGGAAGGGTCCTAAATCTCTGCCCTATTCTCCATTCCCTCATTTGGTCCATTGTTTTCTGGCCCGCCCCCCCCCCCCCCCCCCCCCCCGGGACTAACAGGCTGGCAGGGGTAATCAGGCAGATCTCTGTGGTGCTGGGAACTGGGCTGACACTAAAGGGAAGGGAGTGTGAGGGATGAGGGGAAAAATGAAATGATAATAAGATCCAAAACAGTTGGAGAGACTTGGGCCTGTTCCCTTCTGGCCCTTGCCCTCATTTTTTATCCTCTCTCAATTTCTCTTTCTTTTCACTACCCTTACCTACCATAAGCCCCTCCTCCTCCCTCAGGACCTACCTCACTCCTTTCTTTTCCCCTTTCCTTCTCTGTCTTTTCCTCTCGAAATTCTCACCCCAGCCAGCACAAGAACTTGCTTCTCTGCAGCTTTTGCTTTATCTTCCAGGAAGCAAGCTGAAAGCGATTAGAATAGGGAGGGTGCTGGGACGGTATTGGGTTTCCCCCCCCATGTGACTCTAAAACCAGAGCCCCAGGCATTGGTTACCTGAGCAGAGACAGAGCACTTCAAGATGGAGTTAGGGTGTCCAGATCCCTGACTCCGTCTTTGAACCTGGGAAATGTTAGGCCAATCCTGTCTATATTTCTATCAAGGCTGGTTCCTTGTGGCCCCAATTTTGGGCTCCTACAGCTCACGAAAGGCCGCAGTACCAACTTTCATAGGAGCGTGGCTCTAGTGCTGGTGGGGGCAGGGAGGGGTGAATCAGAGGTCATCAAGTCCAACCTCACTGAGGGATTTAAGGAGTCCTAGGGAGGCAAGGATTTGAACTCAGGTCCTCCTGACTCCAGGGCCAGTGCTCTATCCACTGCGCCACCTAGCTGCCCCTCAAGGCCCTTATTTCTGACATGGCCCCCTCACCCATGCTGCCCTCCATAGTGACACTCCCCTATAGCAAATCAAAACCTAATAGCACCTCCTGATTTCCTGACACTCCCCCAAGTATCACCAGCCCCAGCCCACCCCAACTCCTACCTTCAATGCCTCAGGCACCTATATTTAGGAGTGAAGATGAGGTGAGCTTCCCACACCATCTGGATGGGGAAGAAATCTCTATCTTGCCCATTCGAGCCCACAGATGTAGGGAAACTCACTGAGGCCCCTGCTGACTACTGCCCTGCCCTCATTTGCCTCCCCTCCTCCCACCTTTTGGCTCCCTTGGCTTCCACCCCAGCTGTCTCACGTCTCACTCCCACCTACATGCCATAGACTTCCTGCCATCAATACTAAACAGCACCCCCACCCCCATTCCAGTCAGGCATGGGTGGTGAAGAAAAGTTCTGCTCTTAGAGAGCATGGATCCTCTTTTAGCCCTCACTTCTGTCCAGAAAGATAGGGAAGACTAAAGGGAGTGTGTGTGTGTACGGTATAAGGAAACATGAATACTAGAAACACCAACAAAAGTTATTTTAAGTGTGGCTCAAGAGGGGACTCATTAAACAAAGCCTCTTTTCATTGATCTCACCTGGGAAGCATTGGATCGTAGGATTATAGATTTAGAGCTGGAAGAAACCTGCGAAGTTGCTGAGTCCAATCTCTTCATCTTCATCTTAACAGAGAGGAACCTGAGGTGCGGATAAATAAAGTGAGTCGGCCAAGGTCACACATTTAGTAAGTGTTTGAGGTGGAATTTGAACCCAATGTCTTTCTGACTCTAAGTCTTGTGCCCCTATATACTACACTGAACTGCTTCATTAGCTATGGATAATCTATACATGGAGTTCTGGCTATTTGTAAAGTTCTGTTGTAGTAATTCCTCCATCAAATAAAAAAGAAAAAAACTATGCCCAAAGGGCTATAAAACTGTACAATACCCTTTGACCCAGCAATACCACTTGCTAGGTTTGTATCCCAAAGAGATCATACAAATGGGAAAAGAACCCACATGTAAAAAAATATTTATAGCAGCTCTTCTTTTGGTGGCAAGAATTGGAAATTGAGGGGATGCCCATCAATTGGGGAATGGCTGAACAAGTTGTGGTATATGAATATAATGGAATACTATTGTGCTGTAAGAAATGATGAGCAGGCAGACTTCAGAAAAACCTGGAAAGACTTATATGAACTGATGCTGAGTGAAGTGAGCAGAACCAGGAGAAAGTTGTACACAGTAACAGCCACATTGTGTGATGACTGGCTTTGATAGACTTAGCTCCTCTCAGCAATACAAGGATCTAAGACAACTCCAAAAGACTCATGATGGAAAATTCTACCCACATCCACAGAAGGAACTATGGAGACTGAATGCATATTGAAGCATACTATTTGCTCTCTCTCTTTTCTTTCTCGTGGTTTTTCCCATTGGTTCTAATTCTTCTTTACAACATGACTAATGTGAAAATTTAAAAAAAATAATTCCTCCATCTGTGAGGTAGCATGTTGGCAAAAGTCTGACTGTTCTGTCCTCCATTTATTGGGCTTGCCCTGATCCTGAAGTCCCTTCCTGAAAACCTCCTCCCCCATGAATCCTGCCCCATAGATACATCCTTTCTGCCCTGTGCCTTTTGCTTCTCTAATCTCCATTACTTTCAGTTCTCACTGTGTGATCTTGAACAAATTATTCCCTTCTTTGGAACTCAGTTTCCTCCTTTGTAAAATGAGAAGATTGGATCAGATGATCTCTAAGGTCCCTTCTAGCCTTGGCATTCTATGATTCCAAATCTTTCTTGGTTGGATCAGTCCACTAGAACCTGTGGAGAAGATGAAAGAAGAGGCAATCTCCAAGGAAAAAGAGCAGTGTCTGTGTGTGTGTGTGTGGGGGGGCATTTAGCACTTTTGCATTTCTAATTTTTTCTGTTTTATTTAAGTTGTTCTCCTGGTTTTGCTCTTTTTTTTCTTTTTCTTTTTTTACTGTGCATCAGTTCATATAAGTCTTCTCTGGATTGTCTGAAATGGTTCCTTTTAATTTTTTTTTTTGAAATTCAACTTTATTTTTTTTTCAGTCAGCTTGCAAACATTTATTAAGCAATTACTTTGTGACATAAACTATGCTAAGTAAAAGCAAAAATGGCTCCTGCCCTTAAAGAGCTTAAATTCTGCTTGGAAGGACAACATGTAAATTAGTAGATATATGAAGAAAAGTGGCAATCTGAGAGGAGAACATTGTGCACAGCAGGTGCTTAATAATTGCTTGATTTGATAGGAGATTTTGTAATTTCCTTTGTAGGAAGACATTTAAGTTGAAATAATTATTAAAATATTAATAAAAAATCAAGTTCATGGATCTTAAAGCAAGGTTGAGAACTTCTACACTGAACTCTTTCATCTCTTTTTACATCCCATCTACACACCTCAGCCCCATCATACTGTAACATACCTACCATCCTACCCTATCTCAATTTTATTTTATTTTCAGCTCCAAAGTCCCTCCCTTCCCCTTTCCTCACCTACTGACTGAGAAGGCAAGAAAAACAATACCCATTACAAATATACATAGTCAATATTTTATCATTTCTTAAAGCTCAACAATATTCCATTGCAATCATATACCACAATTTGTTCAGCCACTCTCCAATTGCTGGGCACCCCTTCAGTTTCCAGTTTTTTTGCCATTACAAAAATTGCAGCCTTAAGTAAATACTTTGCATATATTTGTTTCTGGATTATGTCACCTGGGCAAAGGAACACTAGGCAGCAAGATCCGGCCTAGGGGAATATTAGTTTTAAATAGAGTTAATTAGCAACATACCTTCTTATACCTCAGGATAATTGGTAAATTTAATTCTTTCTTTTTGAATAAATCTTTCCTTTACTTATCAGCTATGGGCTGAGAAGAAAAGACAGAGAGGCTGAGAAGATGACTGCAGGCCAAAGCCAAAAGCCCATGAAATACTGGGGTTCCAGAAACTAGGAACTGGAGAAGGGTGGAAACCTGTGGTTCCCCACTGAATAAGGGCTAGGCTTGAGGACCTAGAGGGTCACATGTGGCCTTGAGGCAGCAGGTTCCCTCCCCCCCACCCCCCAGACTAGAGTGTAGCAGAATATGAAACTCATGGCTAGTTGAAGCATTTGACTGGGAACCAGGAGAGCAGGCAGATGCCGGCCCCATTCAACAAGGAGCCTTCAGTAGTCTGCCCCTGTCTTTTCTCAATTAACAGTTGACACTGTTGACTGCTTTCTTCTGGATACTCTTTCCCTAGATTTTTGCTCCACTGCTTTCTCCTGGTTTTCCTCCTTCTAATCAAAACACTCCTCAGGCTCTTTTGTTGGATCATCATCCATCTCCAGCCCCTAATCTTGACAGTCCTTTAGTTTAGAGCTATGTCCTAGGCTTCTCTCCTCCCCTGCCCTCCTCTCTCTTTCCTCTTCTCCCTTTTCTTCTTCTTCTCCTTTTTTCCCCCTTTATCTTTCTTCCCCTCCCCTCCCCGCCATCCTCTCTCCTCTTCTCCCCTTTCTTCTCCTTCTCTCTCTTCCCCTCCATTCCTCTTTCTTCCCCTCCACTCCCCTGCCCTCCTCTCTCCTCTTCTCCCCTTTCTTCTCCTTCTCTTTCTTCCCCTCCCTTCTCTTCCCCTCTCCTCCTCTCTTCTCTTCCCTTCCCATTCCTCCATCCTTACCTCTCACCTGGATAATTATAACAGCCTCCTAATTGGTTTCCCTGTATCCAGCCTGATCTCCAAACTGTGGTTTACACAGCTGCCAAAATGGCGCTCCTAAAGCATGAGTCTTTTTTTTATATTTTTTTAAATATAAATTTATTTATTTTCAGTTTTCAATATTTACTTCCACAAGATTTTGAGTTCCAAATTTTCACCCCATCTCACCCCTCCCCCCACCTCAAGATGGCATGCATTCTGAATATCCCTTCCCTTAGTCTGTCCTCTCTTCTGTCTCTTCCCTACTTCTCTTATCCCCTTCCCCTTCTATTTTCCTGTAGGGCAGGACAGACTTCTGTACCCCATTTCCTGTATTTCTTATTTCCCAGTAGCATGTGAAAACATTTTTTTTAAACATCTGTTTAAAAAAGAGGAAAGGGCGAAAGAAAAAGGAGAAGAAAGGTGAGAGGATGAGAGGTTTCAAATCTTCTCCCTTCCTCCCTCCCCACCCATTGAAAAGGCAAGCAACTCAATATAGGTTATACTTGTGCAGTTATGCAAAACACTTTCATAGTAGACATATTGTGAAAAACTAACTCTATTTCCCTTAATCCTATCCTGCCCTCCCATTTATTCTTTTCTTTCTTTTGACCCTGTCCCTCCTCAGAAGTATTTGCTTCTGATTACCCCCTTTCCCAATCTGCCCTCCTCTCTATCATGCCCCTGCTCTCTTGTCCCCTTCTCCTCATATTTTCCCGTAGGGTAAGACAGATTTCCTTACCCAATTGAATGTGTATGTTATTCCCTCCTTAAGCCAAATCCTATGAGAATAAGATTCACTCATTCCCTCTCACCTTCCCCCATTT